CAACACACCACAATTCTGCAATGAGGTCTTGTCCGCCCCTGTGAAGTAGTTCAACCACTGAAGAGGATGCATAAAGCGTCCTTCGCATTGACACATTTTTTCAACCGGAGCCTCGTGTGAGCGGAGGAAGCCTACCAACTCACATATGCTCAATCTAGCGCATTTATGACTCGAACCCTTCCTATGGCCCCAAGGCAGCAGAAGGTGCTCTTAAGGAATGCGCAGTCGGACACTCTTCCTTACAGTTTCTTAAGCCATAAGGAAATCAGTGCTCCAATACAATATTCACGTAGCACAGTGCAAAGATGGTCTCTGCCTAGACCCTAATCCCCTGAAGGGCGAAACGAAAATCGGCACCACATTCACAGCCGAGTCGAGTCCCCAAATACTGGGTGAGCAACCACACGGAGAGTTCACCACCGGCAAGGGACACATGACATAAAGGACAGCTCCGAAACAAGTCAAGTGGCACTTCCAGCCCTTCAGCCGAGACGCCAAACTGCAGGAGCTCCCCCTCTTCGTCTACAACTCCCTCTTCAGCCTAGACGCCAAACTGCAGGAGCTCCCCCTCTTCGTCTACAACTCCCTCTTCAGCCTAGACGCCAAATTGCAGGGGATCCCCCTCTTCGTCTACAACTCCCAGGACATATCCGTGCCCAGGTAACTACAGCAACGGTCCTTGATTCATTTTCAAAGCCAAGCCACCACAGCAAAACCGCTCACGCAGCTCATTCAGGGCACTTTCTGCTTGCATGAGCCGCTTCACACAACTTCCACCTCGCATTTGTTTGTCGACTGACTGCAGCAAACAATCAAAACAGGGCCACCACTTGTTTTCATTCATCGGAAGAGCATTGCACAACTTTCAGTACGCATTTCTTGTCTTTTTTAGGACCAAAATTTTATTTTTATCTTTTTAATTTTTTATTTTTATTTATTTTGAACTCGGACCATTTCTCGATTTATGCATGTCATCCTTGCGCAGGGACCAAAATTTCGAAACGGGCCAACACATTTTCATCGAAAGAACATTGAAAACACGCTTGCTAACCCAATCACTGTGCCACTTTTCTTACAAGAAACTCCTTACAAAGCATAGAGGATAGCCACACCCAATCAATCAAACACCACGATCAAGATCCACAGCATTGTAAGCCGAAATCCATAACAAATGAACACATACTGCACAAAAGACTGGACACGCACACTCGAGAAGTATGTGCCATAACGACCGACTCACCTTCAAGTCTTTATGAACCGGGAGGACCGTGACCATTTCTTCATCCACCCTCTCCACCACTCCCTTCAAATTTTTCAGATCTCCGGACAAAACCACCACCTTGTCGCCCTTCGCAAACGCGGCCTTCTTTTTTGACGACGTCATTGGAATCATCCCTGCGATCGCGGTCAAGGACAAAATACTTCCAAGAAGACAAGCAATAGCATAGAGGACGAACAAAGATAGAATTCCATTCTATGCACCCCCTGCAGTGCGTGCGTGTCGCAGACCAGATACTAGCGGGGGAAGTTAGTCGCAACTATGAAAACAACGTCGAGCTGCAGATCGCTGACTGTGTAAGAGAGCGACATCAACTGAGCATATGACATAAGTACAGAGTTTTTCAACGAAAAAAAGAAAGGCCTCACTCATTGACCTGCTCACGATTTCTTGCGCCTGTTCTGATAAGACACACCATGTCCTTCCAGGATAGGCTGCCGTCTTGCGCCTGTTCTGATAAGAAACACCATGTCCTTCGCAAGATAGGCTGCCGTGCAGGGCACACAAGAAACCCCTCGATAAGATTGGCCGACTCGTAACCCCTATACATTGACACTGAGACACGGGTGGGCTGCCGTGCAGGGCACACAAGAAACCCCTCGATAAGATTAAATGACTCGTAACCCCTACACACTGACACTGAAGCACTGGTGACCCTGAAGCCTCTACCACAAGGAGAGCGGCGACTCCGTTCCCGGCAACTGGTGCAATCTACTCATTCTCAATAGTCTCTATGCCGATCAGGTAAGGGGACAGCTAACCACATTTCCTTCGAGTGAGGCACTGCTTTCCGCATTTCCTTATCGTCTTACAAAATTGCAATAGATAGTCCTATTGATAACGCGGTGTGTCAAAGTGAGGAAATAATCAGATTAAAATACTTGGTCCTCTTGATAGCCCAGATTTCCCAAGCGAGAATCTTTCCCTGGTCGACAAGTGTTGCTACCCAACTCAGACGTTTTTGCTTCAACGGATGGAAGGACTACGGGACGCAGGGGGGCGCCGGGGGGGGCGGGGGGGTTGGGGGAGGGGTAGGGGAGGGCGGGGGACGTTGGAATTCAGCTGATCCCGCAACGATTCGAAAGAGAGGATACTGGCCAGTTCATCGTCTCCATCGTCATCTGCTCGCGGTTTGTTGAATTTCTGCAACTCGTCTAGAGTTGGTTCGATCATTTTTGCGTCCTGCAAACACATCACCAACAACAGTGCGCACCCAATGCATCAGACACCCAGCACCAGTTCTGTTCTTCCACAAACTGTGTAACGAAGAGCACTACATAGCTTGCCGTGAATAGGCACGTTACCAGTAAAACTACCGTCTTCACCTGAATAGACCGCGCGGTAATTATTGCCGTATCTGGACTGAAGTTGTACCAGATACAGACATAACGACAGGGCGTTTTTTCGGGTGAAAACAGTAGTGTGTATACAAACCAGCAGCAAGAGCGGGGCATGCAAAATTTTCGGGAGCACAGGACACCTGACATATTATCTACACCAGCGACTGCGTATCGACTACACCAAACACTCAAACGCCGTGAAGTGGCCACACTTCTACTTGTCCTGGCTTCACCGCCAGACAACTGGCAGCGGGAAATTTGGGCCCTAAATGCCTTTGTATTTGACCGGCCGCCGACCAAAAAGAGAAGATAGCCGTGTTTGACAATGATTTTTCAGCCATCTTTCCAGAAAATTTTCAACAGACGCGAAGTCACCAACTTCTACTTCTCGCTTCACCGTCAGAGTACTGATTTCGTTAACGATGCATGAAACCATGGTGCAGCCGGCAATACAATCATCCACATACTTACAATCGTCTTCAAGGACACGGTCTTGTGATGATACCCATCCTTGAATCGCCATCCATTGATCACATCGTAAAGCTCCCGCGTGATTCTATCTGGGACCTTGTCAACAGGAATGTTCAGCTCTCTGCAAAAAATCAGGAAAACGGGACGACGCCATAAGCGAAAGTCGGACAAATGCAAATCGAACACAACATATACAACGCCAAACTAACATTTTTAGGCCGTGTTTTTCAAAATCGAACTCTATCTTCAACGCACGACACATGACGGAAGGGGAGAGTAACACCAGAACTTAGAGTCAGTAATCAAATTGGAGACTTTGATTTCCTACACGTACAACTCCGGGAACAAAACGAAACGAAGAAACAAAAACAAATAACATCTTGAAACAGGTGCAATTGACTAGGGCCTTGGACAAGACGGCGTAGCATGCAACCAGTGCAAGAGATTGCTACTTCAACTCCCATGAGAATTGACGCCTACAATTAATAATTATACCCTCCCTCCGAGGAGTACAAACACGAAAAGAAGAAACAAAAACAAATAACATCTTGGAAAAGGTGCAATTGACTAGGGCCTTGGACAAGACGGCGTAGCATGAAAACACTGCAAGAGATTGCTACTTCAACTCCCATGAGAATTGACGCCTACAATTAATAATTATACCCTCCCTCCGAGAAGTAAGAACACAAACGAGCCAAGCGTCCAATATTTTTGATCCTCCAAAGCAAAACCTTTAATCCCACATAACACTAGCGAACGAACATCAATTTTTAAGCGAGAATGCTAGCAACATTTGCAACTCACTTGGCTTCGTATATGCTGAAGAACCGCGCAGGGGGTCTGCCACGCTTCTTTTTCGTGTCATCCCGATCATCCTGCAGCAAAGCCATCAGATAACACAAACCCATCAGCAAGAAGCTCTTCACAGCGCCCTACCCGTCTCATCACAACCATCTTGCAAAAGCACAATATATACTACCTCAACAACCTTATAAGCGTCTTTTTCGGCAAATGCCAATACTGTAAACGAAGCAGAAATACTCCCAAAAGAAAGGGAAAACAGAGAATCTCTTCTACCATGGGAGACACATTTGACACAACCAATCTGCCGGCTTAACAATACACAAGGACAAGCATCTCCTCCGTCCGTTCACGGACGTGGCTCATGTATTTGCCCGCAAAAAAAAAAGGTGACCGCAAATGGTTCAATGAAAACAGCCAAAAAAAGAACTCGATGCAGATGCAGCTTATGACAGCAAAAGTGTATGGAAAACAGCCGACAAAGCGGGTCAAATAAAAACTGGCACGTTGGATAACACATCCCCATACGTCTGTCCGTATACTCCTCGCACACTTGTCAACAATACAGGAAAAAAGGAATTCAGACAACTAACAGGTCCAAGACGACAACAATAAAGGGAAAAATAATTCCGACAGCTTACAGGTCCAAGACGACAACAATAAAGGAAAAAATAATTCCGACAGCTTACAGGTCAAAGACGACCACAATAAAGGAAATGGAATCCAGAAAAAGAATCCCGACAACTTACAGGTCCAAGACGAGAGGCTAACGCCTGCAGATCCAGCCGAGGAATAAGCTTGATAGTCGCTTGCTGCTTTACCGTATCGATATCGGCAATCTGACGCAACGGAGCACAAACGTACGAGTGGAATGCCACAGGCGTAACCAAACCGACGGCAAGAAGACAAACCAGTCAGAATGCCAAGTAAACGGGTCCAACATCAAGGCACGCAACCAACAAATGGTTGAGCCACCCAGATTCCAGATATGATACAGTTGACCGCAATAAAACACACGTACGTTTCTCAGGGTTAGCAAACATTCCTTTTTCTTTATTTCCGTTCAGCGGCCAATCGGATTCAGCAGACCCAATTCCAAGCGACACCTTTCCGACGACCAACTTCATTACGCAAACAAATATGCACACCACCAGCCGGGCCGCCCGGGTCATATTGTTTGACCGTGCGGACCGGCCGGGCAAGGACCAAAGAAGCCCCAGGAAAAAAGAAAAAACTGAAAAAAAAAATATTATGCAGAAAAATAAACTACAACTTTTGCCTCGAGGTCACATCGACATTCTTCACCATACCAAATTCAAATAAAAAATAAAATTAAAAAGAACATTTTTTTATTTTTGCCTTATAAATTATTTTCGGGCCCGGCCGGCCAAGCGTTCCCGGGCCACTCTGGTAGCAGCCAACAGCCAAACATATCTCAGCTTGCATACCGGTCCAAACAGTCGAAACTACACCGATCAAACAAAAAGAGAAAACGGTCTCCGTTCCAAAGAGAACTCGGTCTCCGTTCCTTTAAAATCCTATCAAACTCGAGTCCCAAAGGCTTCGCCAGAGCACTGTCGAAACGAAAAAAGCACAAATGCATCTTCCCAAAAAAGTGCGGAGATGCATCTGTTCCGTTTCCACAGTGGTGTGGCGAGGCCCAAACTGATTTCATTACCCGTGACAATGCACGTCTCTCAATTTTAAAGATACAAATCCCGACCGCATAACGCTTCCCACACAGAAATCCTTTCGCAGAGGTTAAGGATGTCCAATACAGCTCTCTCTTCGCACACACTTACAAGAACGCGTTACCGGTGACCAAGGCTCCACTTTCCGGTCAATCTCCAGAGAGCTAAAATTCGCCACTCGCGCTGGTAGCCAACCACCACAACCTCAACCACAGAACCTCACCCCTACATATACAATAGGGGTCACCCCAACATATACAATAGGGGTCACCCCAACATAGACAATAAGGGTTGCCCCAACATAGACAATAAGGGTTGCCCCAACATATACAATTTTCGTCGCTTTCAGTTCAGCAGGTGGGAGCATATCCGGCGACAGCTTCCCCCCCCATCAATTGGAAAAGCCAGTGTCGTTGGCAAAGTCATCCCAAAAAGACGGTGCAATGCATCGGACCAAGATTATTGCCCCAACTCTTGTCCCTCCCAAAGAAAAAAAAAAGAACAAAATAGAAAAACGTGGACGGCCCGCAACGGCACCGCCAAATTCGCCGTTCACGTTTATGAATTCAAAAGACCCTCATTGGTATACACATGGGGTTCACCAAGGTAAAAGACATGCGATTGAAAACATGCTCCTCATTGCCATACTGTTATACACTTATAAAAACCTGACGACCGTTATGTTTCACGCATCAGGACCGGATTTTCCTTAAAACAAGTCGTTAACAAGGCAATTGCGGGATGGCAGCGACAGCCAACATGAAACAATCGTAGAAAGTGCGCGCGCTGACAAACATGAGCAGACAACATTCCTGTCCTCTGTGTCATTTCCCGCAACTTGGACCAGAACTCGTGCTTTTCCTAACGATATTTGCAAAACACCATTATCAACCTTCAGTTGTAATATAAACTGGGCAGGCAACCTCACCTGGCCGAGATCTCCCTTGTATATACCGTTCTTCACTCGGACCCACGTGCCAATACCAATATCTTCCACCTTTTTCTCGACCTTCACAACATCAGTCATCTCCTTGATCGGAACAAGCGTTACTTTCCAGGAGTAGAGCGACCGCAAACCTTTACATGCCTGTTGTAAGAGCGCACAGACAGATGCGCACAAAAACGAAAACAAAGGTCACCAAAGAATGTAATCAATGAGCACACGTCAATAGACAGATGCGCACAAAATCGCAGAAACAAAAACGAAAACAAAGCTCACCACGGAATGCAATCAATGAGCACACGTCAATCGAGACAATTATCTCCGATCCATTTCCAGCCGAGTTTCTCCCACCGGCCCTCAATCACCACGACGTCCCGACCACATGTCCAGAACACATCCACTTGGCTCCACTTAAGCTTTCAAGATTACCATTTTCATCAGCCCGACCACGTGTCCAGAACACATCCACTTGGCTACACTTAACTTTCCAGATTACCATTTTCATCGGCGAACACCGGCCCTCGATCACCACGCGACATCCCGACCACGTGTCCAGATCACGTCCACTTGGCTCCACCACTTGGGTTTTGTACAACTCTTACATGTCCAAGGTCGCGATGTGGCAGCGGGATCCTAGCGCACATCCACTTGGCTCCACTTGGGCATTCGATCGAGTTCGATCGAATTCAATCTCATTCGATTGAGTTGGATCGAAAAAGGAGTTGCAAACACAAAGTGGTCCGTCCCACCAAGAGTCCATTCGATGGTGACCTAATTTACCGCGATCCCACCGTCTTCACGCGAATAGAACGCCCGGTATTTATCGCCGTATCTGGACTGAAAGTTGTTCCAAATACAGCTATAATGACCGAGCGTTCTATTCGGTTGAAGACGGTAGGTGTACAACGAAAGCGTCCTGTGTTTCTTTCCGTCGACCGCACAATAGCAACCCGGCCTATCATCAAGACGGGTATGGTTAACAACAAAGTAGCCACGGCAAGCGCAACCCGATTCGCCTCGCCAATCTAGCTAAATTCGCAGAACGTGGCACCGTTCTTTTTTCTGAGTTTCTCTTGTTTTCCTCATCATAATCTGTGTGAGAGAACGAGCAGACGATTTCCAGAGACCTCAAAAGCAGGCACAACAAATGTGAGAAACACAAACCTCCCCTCCTCTGGTCACTTCAAGAGCAGATCACAGTGGGGGAAAGCACAAAATTCACGCACAGAACACTGCAACAACCATAGGTCCGCAGCCAAGATCGTAGATAGCGAGTTCGGACAACACACAGAAAACCCAGTGGAGAGAGAGTGTGCAAACAAAGCAGCCACACACAGCGAAACACGAGGGAGACAGACCAAGAAACAAAAAGGTAGGTAGCCCGAAGTGGACCGGAGAAGGGCAGCGAATTAGCCACACAAAGAGTGAAACACGAGAGAGACACACCAAGAAATAAGAAAGAATATAGCCCGACGAGAGAGACAGACCAAGTATATAGGCCGAAGTGGCCCAGAGAAGGTCCGCAAAGTAGCCACGCAAAGAGTGAAACACGAGAGAGAAACACCAAAAACGAATGTAGATAGGCCGGAGTGGCCAGGAGAAGGGCAACAACAAACATACCGCTTTCACATGTGCTTCCTTCTCCGCCTCGACGTACACAAAACCCTTTAAATGATCTAAAGCTATAGCAGATTTGATAAGCAAAGGATCTGGAGTCCCCTCCTTGTCTATCCATTTCTGCATCAAGCATATGACCGCTTCGCGCTCGTGATTTTGCTGTTTACAAAGAAACGCCAAACGTCAAAATGAGACCAGTCAGCACTGAGACGAAACTTCAGACGGTGGCGAAAAAATGAGAGCATCATCATCCATACGAACACACAAAGTCTAATCCAAAAACAGCATGGTAGGAGAAACACGAACCCAACCAGGGGCCTGCATATGCATCGATGAGGCGGGAAAATCGGCAGCTGCACATTGTTCTAACCACCACGCATATACGCTTTCAACATGATATCTCGGCCAGGTACCTGATGGCATCACATCCGCTCGACTGAAAAGACCAGGTCATCGGCACTGCTCTTTCCACGCAGGTACGCTGAAGGGCAATACAGTAAGTCTATAGAGCACTGCTGTTTTCCCGTAATGTAGTACGCAATGCAGGAAGGGCGATAGTTGGCAGGGAGAAAGGCAACCGTTGGAGGGGAGAGGGGTGCGGCGAGAGGAGGGGTGGGGGTGCAAGAGGGCCACGCTCACGGGGACAATGATCGCAGGCATGCATATACGCACCGCGAAGAAGCGTTCAAACCGCATCAGGAAGGCCCTCCCCTCAGGTGTGAACACTCGCTCCCCACACCCCGTTGTTTCCACAGGGAAAAAGCAAGTTAGGCCGCAGAGGGAGCCGTCCACGACTACCTTCTTCCCCCAATACAACGTACGATATTCAGGCTGAAAAATAAACTCCAAAAAAAAAGCTGTAATGACCGTACGTTGTTTTCCCGCGGGGGGGAAGTGAAGCGGCTAATTTAAGCAGATTGCCATTTCCAGTACCAACCCCTGCCAAGAGGCCCCCTTATAATCTAGGGCAAAGATTCCGTCCACCAGTGTACAGGATGGAACAACACCCAATTCGCGGGAATCTAATTTCACCTTCTCTGGAAAATACCATAGAGCAGTGCACAGATGTTTTTCAGCTTTTCTCTTACGCTAAGGGTGCAGACATGACAGCGGCGAGCGGCGTTGATTCGTTATTAGTAAAGCTCGGCTCTACGTTAAAATCCCTGCATCCTTCCAAAACATAAGGAGCTCTTGTGCCTTTTCGAGAATCGACTTCTCCACACAGGGATCGCCTGTTTCCACGTGCGTGATACATGAGACTTGGCTCATGTTAGCTGAAAATGGTCTTTCACTTGCACCAACTCGCCCAAGAAGCTCTTTCACTTTCACTTTCGACAATCGACTTCTCCAGACAGGGATCGCCGGTTTCCACGTGCGTGATACATGAGACTTGGCTTCAACATGTTTTCAATGGATATATCTGCATATCCGCAAATACTAATTCCTTCCAACTCGACTTCGTGCTCTGCCGATTCATGCCAAGATTTCCTGACGGTGCACAGAATAGAAAATCTGCTACCTGCCGACAGGAGCTTCTCAACACACAATGCTTAATACCATTCCCGTGGTAGCTGAAAAGAGTCTTTCATTTTCACCAAGATTTCCTGACGGTGCACAGAAGAGAATCTGCTACCTGCCGACAGGAGCTTCTCAACACAAAATGCTTAATACCATTCCCGTGGTAGCTGAAAATGGTCTTTCATTTTCACCAACTCGCCCACAGGCTTTTCCATCGCACTCCGACAACTACAACGTATTCCCCGCTACGAAGCTGTCGTAATAAATAGTAACATGCTCGATGATGAGGTAAAGCCGCTGTTATTATAAGGGCTTTGGAGAAGAAGAGGTGGGGGAGGGGGGGGGAGGGGAGGGGGTCCGGAGGAGGGATAGAGGTAGCTCCCAAGGATTTCCTTCTGACTAGAGATTCGGCCAATCTGCACTTGATAGAACAAGCGTGGACGGCAATTTCCTGGGGCGTATGTGAGACGACCGCTGGCACAAGGATTATCATTTCCTCATCGCGTGAGCTCGTCGTAGCTTCTGTTTTACTTGGTAAAAAAAACTTTCGGGGAACCTTTCAAGGACGCTTTATACTTTAGAAGCAACAAGCGAATCTGTTTTTTCGGCATTACAGCAACTCATGAATTACGTACTATCGTTCGCAAGGACCGAAACTCTGCTTAAGCACATTCTTCACAGCTTGTGATCAGAAAGGAACACTTCGACATCTGATCGCGCCAACGATTGCCTTACCGGTGACCATCTCTAGCTTTTAGTTGCAAAATCTTCATTGCGTGCGATCAGCTAAAAAAAACGCACTTCTCATGTTTCAATCTGACTGTCAAGTTCCAATGATTGATTACCTTACAGGGGACCATCCATAGCTTCGGATCCCTAACGGACGGGAGAAGTCCTTGTTGCTCGACTTCCGTCGCCTCGTTATCTTCAATCTCATCTTCAGGTCTTCTCTCGTACTTGTTATTGATATACTCTAACCAGTCTTCCTCCCTTATCTCTTCATCATTCGGGAAATAGTGAGTTCTGTGCTGCACGGGCCTCTCATCCTCTTCGACAAGCTCTGCACCTATATCTTCCAGCTCTTCTGCAACATAGACACGACACCAAGGTTTCTCATCAGTTCGCGCTTCGTTTACCTTCATCCCTGCATTTTCTCATCTCTAACAACGGCAACCCACTCCAATCTTCGTACGCCTTACGTAGCATGCACACGTACCCCGGACTCGAAAGAACTGTCTCATCATCATTCTTACTGACCCAGCGCACTTGCCTCGTCCTCCTTCCCATCGACTTCCAAGTCCGGCAGCGCCTTCCGTTCTCAAAGTGCAATCACTGTAGAATTATTATTCATCGAACGGACATACAAGGGTGGTACGACATTGCCTGGGCGCTGGGGACCGCCGATTTTCTCCTGCACTCCGTCCCTCCCAGGCCTTTTCTTAGGCACGGTCCGCACGCGACCCATTTTCCCATCAAAGCACACTCCCAGCCTCAAAACGCGCGCCCTTCGTTCCTCCCCATTGTCACCCTGTCTCTCCACCCTGCCTCCACCCCACGATAACACGCGCTCTCAAATCCTACAGCCATCCCACTTAAACACCCGGATCCTACCTAGCACGATTACTCCCCCCACCCCTCCCTCTTTCCACCTTTGAGCTCTGAGAACTGTCCCCTTTCCCACTTGCCACCATCACCTTTGCTCTGCATGATTTCGCGCCACAATAATCATCGATCACCACTTCCCGCTCTTCTGGTTAATCAGAATCTTCAAACGCATGCCCTTCCAAGGGGGCCGCCACTTTTCAAATCCAACCCCTTACTATTCCTCCTCTGATAGCATCTGCCCCCGGGACTTCGCCGAACCTTCCCACTCTCCCAAAGAGCTCTCCCCAGACCGCGTCATATAGCTTTCCCCACACTGCTATCAACTTCTACGGGAGCCATTGCCTGCCGCCAATTGCACCCTCTATCACATTGCCGTTCCTCACTCCATTGTACCATTCCCCTCCCTCCCATTCCCACAGCATCTTTAACTCAGGACTCTACCAATATTCCCGCTCTGCTCAGACGCCATCCCACCGGGCACACTGATTAATTGAGCCCCTCGCCGTCACCCCTGTCCGGTAGGTTATCTGGATGACGTCACGACACGTACATAGAAGAACATAAGATATGCACCCTTCCCGCAAACATCCTCACGACCCCCTTTTTGCATGAAATGAATATCAACGAAAAAGGAAATCCGTGATGAACGCCTGGTTTTGACGATTCCAATTTGTTTGAGAAAGCGTAAGCACGAGGCAGATACGCAAGATAGCACGCCAAAATGGGCAGTACACCACACATGCTTACGATAGTAACACGCCATAACACATCCCCTATAACTGTCATAATCTTGCGGTACCTGAGAAAGTAAAACAGATTTTTATCGCCTTCGAAAGAATAACAAAAAAGTTCCCTCCGCTTCCCGCTTCCCGCGTCCCAGAGTGGAAAAAATATATTGTCACATTGTCCCAGAGTGGAAAAAATATATATATAATTGGCAACAAGGTATCCGAAGCACAGAGCTGCTTCAAACCACCCCCGCCGAAAACCCTAATCCCGTGGCAAACGCTCCCGACCATTTTCAAGTAACCCCCCACGAAAATATTCTAAGTGAACCACGAAAGAGCACACAACTCGTTTGGAGAAGGCAGCAGCAAGAAAGGGTTGAGGAGAAAACGTTTTAACTTGAACCTCGACAAATTCTGTGTTCGAGAAAAGTACCGAGTCAGAGGACCGAGCTTGAAAATGAAAGCGAATAAGAAAGAGAGAAAAAGAAAGAGAAAAAGAAAGAAAGAGAGAAAAAGAGAGAGAAAGAAAGAGAGAAAAAAAATGGCCACCTGCAAGAGGTAATTCTTGAGAGATTCTCACCCTCGTCGCCGTCGTTTTCCTCTTCTTCGTCGTCGTCTGCAACGTCTGCAGCGTCGTCGAACAGACGGGAAACCCCATGCCGGCGCTTCCTTGGGGCCTCTTCCTCATCTTCCTCTGAATCTTCGATAGCCGCCTCATCAATGAAGCTCGACCTCCTTGGGCGCTTGCGACGACTGCCTCTTTTTCGCTCCTCTTCCTCCTCTTCTTCCTCCTCTTCTTCTTCTTCCTCCTCTTCTAACTCTTCCTGCTCTTCTTCCTCCTCTTCCTCCTCCGCCTCCTCTGCTGCGGCGCCCTCATCTTCGCCCCCCTCCCCCCCAGCCTCCTCTTCCTCGTCATACTCTTCTTCGTCCCGTGCACCCATCGTTTACCGTCTCAAGGACCCACTCACAAGGACAGCGATGGCTGGCAGCTCGCCCACACTCTGCTGCTTACCTCAATTCCAGCCAGCCGCCCGGTCAGCAGATAGAATCGCGAAAGAATAGCCACAACGACAAGCGATCTTGCCTCCTTCTCCTGCTCGGCGCTGCGTGCAGCGATACAAGATAATGCCGCCCCGCCCCCCCCCTCCTCCTTGTCTGCTTTTCAGTCACAGACCGCTAGAAAGGAGGTCGCCGATGCGGCGCCGTTGCGATGGCAAGCAGAAGGGCAGCTTCTCTCGACAGCCGCGGACAGCAGGAGACAAAAACGGCGCGAAAAAGACGAAGATGAAGAGAAACCCGCCGCCATGGACGAGAGAAGGCTTCGTTCCGAGCTGAGCGCAGAGCCGTAGATGAAGAAAAACCCGCCGCCGAACCCCGAGCTGAGGCCAGAGCCGCTCGTGCCTCCCGATAGCCCGCGTTGAGCAGCAAAACGAACAGCAGCAACAGCGCACACCGCGAAGCTCCACAACAATGCGCCGTCGACGCTTCCACCCGCCGCCAAACCGATGTTATATAGCGCAGCTGCCCCCCACCTCGAGAGAGCCATAGCATCCAACAGAATCATCGCAAGCCGCACAGCCAGCGTGATCGCTCCGCCTTCGCACACACATCCCATCTTTCAGGTGAGTGCGACCGCCAGTTTGCCTATATCGATCGCTACCAAGTGTTTGATTGTGGTGTGGACACAACAGGGGAGAGGGAAGACGTAAACTCCCACATCCAGTTCTGTTTCCGTAGGTTTTAAATGAGCCTGCCTCACCACCGTTCGATCTGCCAGATCGTTGCTGGAATGTCGCGCGAAAGGCGCAAACCCTGCGGGTACGCTCTCGCCCGCATCAGAACGAAGAAGCGACACAAGCTGGGCGCACGCGAGACAGGGGCGCAAACGTGCGTTCCGATCATGGAGCAGGAAACGGAAAACAAAATTGAGGGCGTGGTTCCGCGTTGGCCCGGTTCACCTGCCCGCAGCGGGTTTGGGTTTGGGGGTTGCATTTGCATAGCACAGACCACGGTCCTATCGAGCACTCGTTGGTGGTCCCTCCGTCGTGGTCGTAGTCTACAGAATACAGAATACAGAAAATAATACTCTGGTAGGACACTCCCATCCCAGATGTACCTGACCGCATAAGGTAGCCGAATGCAATCGAAAAGGGTTCAGGCCCTGCTTTTTCCGACGGAGTTAATACCCCTTTCAAGACCCTTTCAAGAATTCAATTCAAGAAAAGGGTTCTGGCCCCACGGTTGCAAGAAAGGTTCTGCGTGCTCAAGAACCACGAAGCTGGCCCCAAGCTCGTTAGGTACGTGCTTTATGACAACAGGCGCTGGTAGCCCTCATGAAGAAACCGTATCGACCTGCAAAAGGTCCAACAGCTCAATTAGCCAGAGCTGGGAAATAGATCCCTCAATTGGCCACTGTCCAGATGCCCAGCCCTGCTTAGACAATGCTCTGCCCACCTGACATTGCAAAACGCATCAGTTCACACGAACCTCAGTGGTGCTCTCACTGGTACGAGCTTTCAAAACTTTGGCCTGGGCTGGTAGTGAACATGGCAGGCCACTTTGAAAACTCGCAGCTGCAGGTTCGTGAGCCCTGGAAGGTAGCTATGTCAACTCAGGCTCGTGTGAACTGGTGCACCGCTAGGTCCAGCCTTTTTCCTCTGATGCGGCTGCACCAGCCAAAAGGCGGTCTGCAGGAGACTTGAGGGGGGTGCGTGCGCGGGCCATACTCACCGCTGCGCTACTGGTTACGAGTTGGAGGCTCGTGAGCCTTGAAAGGTAGCTATGTCAACTTAAGCTTGTGTGAACTGGTGCACCAGTACTCCAGCCTTTTTCCTCTGACACGGCTGCACCAGCCAAAAGGAGGCCCGCAGGCAACTTGAGGGGGGCGCGTGCCCGGGCCGGACTCCACCGCTACACTACTAGTAACGAGTGCCTTCCTAGCATAACCGGTGTTACCCAACACCTCTCACTGCCCACGTGCGGTGAGCAAAAGACCACCATAGCCTTGCTTACCGTAGTGAGCAAACTCTCTCTCACAGAGTGGAGGAGGTGAACATGGGTGGCTAACCCTTTCCAGAGAACTCATGCAGACATACCTCATGTTTACCGCGGATGCGCGATGGGATCACAACCACTACGATACGTACCTGACCAAGGCCAATAAAGAGGGAGGTAAGTACACTCTACACGGTTCACAACTCCAAATGGTCCGCCCGACACTCTAACTTTTAGTTTCTTTCTACTTCATTAATGTTACTTCACATACTACATCAGAACCTGGTTCCACTAAAGCTCAAGTCTAATTTAATTTCTTACCCACCCCGCCAACATGTTGGCCTCAACATCTATTCAAAATACAATGCAAAAGTTACCGCGCGATCCGTCTTGGTCATTGACGCAACCTCGTATGTTAATTATTGGACTAACCCTCTCCACAACACTCAATATGTCAGTCTGTTGGGAATTAATTAATTTTTGTCTTACGTTACTATTCTCACGTTTTCTTCCTACAATGCCAGTTTGGCAGACCATCGCCTACCCGTTATCTGATTTCGGCCTATTACTATAATCGAAAAATAATTTGAATAACAAATTAAAAAAAAAAAAAAACAATACTAATTCAAGTAAGTGTCACAACAGGCAGCCGAACATAAGTCATGAATAGTTTTTAGCACAATGTCGTTGTACACAAGGAAACCGCCCTCGCAACTCCATTGAACTAAATAACTCGCCCAAGTTTGTAATTTTGTTTTCCTCTTCAGTCTCGGAGAGATGGTTAACAACGGAAACTATTTACCGGTCACTTTCAGCTGCTTCAGGTCCCCACCTGAAACTCTTGAAATGACCTGAAGTGGTTGAAGTTTTTGAAAGGGGTTTCAGGTACCCTCATCCAAATGGTTGGATGGGGGTACCTGAAACCCTTTTCAGAAGCTTCAGACACTTCAGCAGTTTCAGGTCCCCACCTGAAATTCCTGAAATAACCTGAAGTGGCTGAAGCTTCTGAAAGGGGCTTCAGGTACCCCCATCGAAATGGTTGGATGGGAGTACTGAAACCGCTTTCAGAAGCTTCAGCCACTTCAGCGGTTTCAGGTCCCCACCTAAAATTCATGAAATGACATGAAATGGCTAAAGCTTTTAAAAAGGGGTTTCATGTACCCTTATCCAATCATTTGGATGGGGGTACCTGAAAACCCTTTCAAAAGCTTCAGCCACTTCAGCGGTTTCATGTCCCCACCTTAAATTATTGAAATGACCTGAAGTGGCTGAAAAAACAGGCACGAAAAAAAAAAACAACATAAAACTTGTCATCCAAACCACTTGAAACTTCTGAAATGACATGAAATGTCTTCAGGCCATTTCAACGGTTTCAAACCACTTCAGAATCTTTCATTCTAAAATTTTAGGTGGTTGTTAACCGCGAGTGCAGTCACGGGTATGAAACTTATGTCTTCCGATTCGAAGGTGGTGTGAGACCAACACAACTGGATACATAGGTCTTATCTAACAAAGCCAAACGAGAAACATGCTCACCAAAATTTCCTACTCATGCTACCCTCTCCCTACACACTATCTCAGAATCCCAATAACCATGATTCATTCCCTCACCCATAACTCACATGTCGTCGCAAACTCTTTTTTTTTACTGCCCTTCCGTCTTTCTTCGTTCGTCCATTTGTCACTCCCCCCCTCCCACCACTGCGCAAACTCATTTTTCTCATCACTCTCTGACCTATACACGTTGCACCACCACTCCTTCCCCTCCTATCTCATCTCCCGAACTCACTCACTGCCCCACTTCCCACCCCCTCCACTAATGTTATTCCATTTCTTCTAATTGTTTGCCCCACTTTCTACACCCAGTCATCCACGTGCGTCGCTTCCTTGTCATAATTTACTTTATCCTTATTGATTGAAATAATACATAAATGCTCAATTCATACTCTCTACATCGTAGACTCGGATACTCCGCCCTGCATTTCTCCCTCTCTTCACAACCCTAAACACGGATGACTCGAACAACCACTAAACTCGTGAGGAATAACAAAATGAAGAACTTTAGAAAATGCCAGAAAATTATTTTATCAATGAATATCTTCCTAAAAATATAAACTTGAATGAAGTCCCAGACTTGTCGAACACGGACGAGGAGGAGAACGTAATTGAAATGAAAGTCAATTTGATGATTCATAAGCACAATGTTTAGTAGTTAAAATAACACACGACGATTGTAAAGTTTGAATCGACAGACGAAAATGAAGACTCAATCCTTTGAACCGAAAAAAAATAATTAATTTATATATATGAATGTGGCTGGGTCAAGAATGATGCACTCATCTAAGTAATGAAACATGGGATAATCAAGAATGAGAGAACAAATATGATAACTTATGCATCCCCCCAATTAAAAAAAAAAAAAATCAAATTCCTGTTTTAAAATAAATCGAACAAAGTATTTTTATAACTAGGGATACTGTATAACATTACGTTCAATCACTGGGCAACGCAGAAAGAACTGGAAGCAAAAGTAAAAGAGGAAAGGGCGAGCAAATTTTGAATTATATATCTTTGCGTACCCTGTAGGATGCTTTTCCAACTACATTCCTTTGTTGAAACTAAAATTGGTACAAATTTGAAAACTTACCCAGTTCTCATGGACAAAGAAGAATCGCAATTGATGAACGTGAAGTTTGATCTTCCTATTGAAGTTAGAAATCAAATTGCAAATAAAATGACAATGTGATTAAAAAATGGGGATAAACTATAAGTGGATGTGATCGCTCTTGATACTATGTGGTAAGCTCGAGGCACAAAGTACCTCCATAGACAAAAAAATATTTTGAAAATTTATGAAAAAACTAAAGAATCATCATAAAAATTCACAACTAGATAAAAGAAAAACATCAATGCCATACATTAAGAAAGTCAGTGAAAATGAACTCGATGTACAACAACCAACTACATAAGGAGCATGGAACCTTGGTATCCTAGCACCGACAATCAAATCATGAGTACCGACATCACAAGACAAAAAATGAACGAATAGGCATCTGGTTGATCAGTCACACTTACAGATATATATGACCACAACAGAACAATCATGAAAGTTAGAACCCCCATCAAACAGTGCAGAACCGAGAACAGGTAAGAGAGAGGAAACATGTAGTCCTACCGCGAACTGATGAGGAAATGTAACTTGAACTACTATATAATAATCACACAACATTCTCACACACGTTTTGCCTCAACATCAACGGTATTCCCAATGAAAAGGTTGTACCACGACACCCAGACCACTCCTTACGGAAACAAATTGGTATCAGACACCATTCCAATCAACAACTGACTCATCAATAATGAGGTAGACGTCTATGTATCACTGATGAAACCGCCTGTCCGAATTTCAAAGACAAGTTGATTACTAGAAAGTTGATCCAATTGTTATATGTCAATATG